ACAGCAAAATAGTTACAGTTTTTATAAATAAATCTTGTTGCCATTTCTTTTCTCACAATTGTATAAAGTACGAATCAACCTACATATGGGGCAAAGGTTTTCATAAACGGGAATGGCTACAGACATAGGTAAGCTTAAGGATAATATGCTGTACAAACATAAAGACCGAATTAAAGAAAAAAGGACTCAAATGCAGTTCAATAGGTTCTATGCCGAGCTGTCACTGCCTACAGGGGACAAATAAAGATTAAAATGTATGACAAATTGATATAAGCTTTCGCGGCCAGTTGTCGTGTCCTGCAGACTGTCCAAGATCGGAGATGGAAGGACCTCCTAGATATACATATTAACAGGATAACTGCCTTGTGTTCATTTACTTTAAAATTGTTCCTGTCAATTAGTAAAAATGTTTATCGTGTGGTTGTTAGTGGTTCACAAAAATCTTTATATCTTCTTAGTTCATTAGCTTTGGTGGGTGATGATAATGAACTGTAACTTAAACCATACGGAGTAAAAGTATCCTTTATAATAGCGAAAACCGTATCAAAATCCAATAAATAGCTTTACTACAAAACACGAACAGACAAACGGTCCCCGGTGACTTTGATCTACAAAATGTACAGTGTATAGTGGATATGGGATTCAATTTGTCGATAGGCCAATTTTACAGTGCGTTCCTTTCATGTCACAGAAATTAGACCGACACTTTTTACGGATGATATACTATTTGTTACGATCAGAGTAAAATACCGACTTGATAAACTTCAGAAGGATCTCATGGTAAAAAACAAATGTTTTAAGGCGCGAAATTTAGAAATAAATGCGTACAATAGTGGAGCGATTCGAGAAAGGAAAGAAAAAAAAACCTGTAGCCAAACTTTTGTAGCATAGTAATAATGGATATGAACAAAAAGGGACCGTAGTTGTTTTGACAACAGAATCCGAAAGCTGTGAGCATGTTTCTGGTAAATAATCAATAATTGACGGCACGCTAAATAATAATGATTACCTCGGTTACTGGACGTGGGACCAAGAGAGACCATTGGTCTTGGAGAACAACTAATAGCTGTAATGTAATAGAAATTACAGGGGCACATAATAGCTGGCGATTGACCCGTCCATACAAGAATATGCCTTCACATCTTCTTATTACTCATTATCAGCCGTTTCGACCGTGGAAATATGATTACGCCAATTTCATTGCAAATACCACCAAAATTACATCGTTATGCCTTTTTAACCAGCTGCAGACGTATGCCATATCGATATAATGATCGAAAAGTTGAATACAATTTCAAAAGAACGGCGAAATTATTTTGTTCAAGTTTAAGGAAATTTATCCGTTCAGTTTTTTTTATGTAACTTTTTAAACAACGATATTTATATTTATTTTTATCAATTCGGAAATACAGGGTAGGATGAAAAAGTAGTAGGACTCAATTAATTTAAATTTTATTTTTGTACTAATCGGTACAAATCCTTAGTAGTCCTGAAGTAGTCCTGAAAATAGCATCCTTGTGCTTTGACACAACGCGTATAACGCGATTCCCACTTCTCGTAAGCCTTCTGGAACTCGTTTTCCATTATCCCCTTTAGAAATGCCGTTACGGCCTCTTGGATGTCTTGTATGGAGCTTGAGTTGACACTCAGTCCAACTGCTTTTTGATTTTACCCTGTATATTTTAGACAAAGTGGTCCATGTATAAAAAGGCTAAAAAATTTTGCTTCTTTACTTTACTTTGGGGCAAGTTTGCGCCCTGCGCCCCAGTGTATTTATTGGACTTTCGAAAGATGATGAAATATACCTATAATTGTTTCTCAATTCGCCTGTACTGTATGTAGGAACCTCAACGTTTTTTTAGCCCAAATAACAACGATTTAGTTTCGTTTTTATATTTTTTTTATCATATACTTATTCATCACTTTATTCAATTTTGTTACGGCGCCAAATGAACGTGCTTTATCTTATCAGCGCATAGTTTATAATTTTTTACGTATGTATAAAATTACCGTGTTTTATACTTTTTTAAAACATGTCGTATCTACAGCACATAAATTATATCAACTTGAATTGCTTTTAGTATGTAAAATGTAGTAATTGTAAGAGAAATTGCATCAAAAATTTTCCACTAATTCGTTCGTTCGGCTTAATTATGTTTCAAGTTTTTCATAATGTGTCAAGTCATTTTAACTCATTTTATTTAATTGTTGAAATTAATAGTAACAATAATGTTACGAAATATTTTCCGTTCGGTTTGGAAGTTTTAATACTTTTGTTGAATTTGTATTGTACTATAGAATTTTCTAAAGTACATATTTCGTTATTCTGTAAGGTACATTGGTTTGTCGGAACCCCATGAAATTGAAAATGCAATACGTGCTATTGACAATAGTGAATATTTAAATAGGATTTTATATCAAATAAATAGCAAATTATTCTTCTTTAAAAGGTTCATACCCCTTTGTTTCTTGGAATCGAGTGTTTTCCATATTGTTTTGTTTAGCATAGCATTTATTACACGGCATTTGAAAGCATGAATTCTTGGTTTTTGTTTTGTCAATTTAGCATTACCTTTTCCCCGGACACTACTGTTTATGTAATGTCCATGATCATGTAAAAATCGTAAATTTACTGTACAATGGCACTATATACTTTAGATTACGTGAAATTCTAGAAATATATCAGTGTAAGTAGTTTGTTCTTGTTGTCTTCTCCTACCCTTACCGTGTGGTCCTATGCTATCGCTATTTTAGCGAGTTTTTTGTAATATAATATTGAATAGAGCAATGAAAATGTATGGTGGTAATAATCCCGCTTAAAAAATGGAGCCGTTATCGTTATGATTGATTTTTCCGAAGAAAATAAATAGAAATTCAAATTACAAAGACAATTCATAAGGTAAAACCCGCACTCAAGTCTCAAGTTAAAGAAATTGAAGTTATTGAATGTTTTATATAGAGACTAGGTTTTACTCGCGTTGATGTTTTTTTATAGAAACCGTGATCATATACGAGGGTGGATTGATAAGTTTCCGGCCTAACCAAGAGATGACGCCACTAGGCCTACCTTGAGGTGACATTCTATAGTACCATCCTTGGATAGCTTGTAGCTATAGTTTCAGCCCGATCTCCTTGCTAGTGTAGGTTTGACAGCACGCTGAACAAGACGCCTCTGTGGTTTTCGTAAAAATGGAAAAGCAGGAAAATCGTGCTGTCATCAAATACTTTTATTTGAAGGGGTTAACGCCGAAGGAAATTAAAAAAGAGATGGACTCAACACTGGGGACATCCTCCCCGTCATATTCAACCGTTAAGCAGTGGGTTTCCGAGTTTAAAAAGGGTCGTGTGAGCACCTCTGATGGGCCTCGCTCAGGACGCCCCGTTGAGGTCACAACTCCAGATATGATCGAAAAAATTCATCAAATAGTGCTGGGAGACCGCAGATTGAAAGTGCGTGAGATAGCTGAGACCTGTAAGATGTCATATGAACGTGTGCAACATATTTTGCACCAACATTTGCATATGGAAAAGCTCTGTGCAAGATGGGTGCCGCGTTTGCTAACAGTCGACCAAAAATTGATTCGAAAAAACATTTCTACCGCAAATTTGTCATTGTATAAGCGTAATCCAAGCGAATTTTTGCGTCGATTCGTAACCGTTGACGAAACGTGGGTCCACCACTACACTCCTGAAACCAAAGAACAGTCTAAACAGTGGATTGGACCAGGGGAACCAACTCCAAAGAAGGCAAAAACAATTTTTTCGGCGAACAAGGTTATGGCTACTGTTTTTTGGGATGCAAGAGGTATTATATACATTGATTACCTTGCAAAGGGTAATACTATCACTGGTCAATACTACGCAGACTTATTGCAACGTTTGAGCCACGAGGTGAAAATTAAACGACCTCATCTGGCGAAGAAAAAAATCTTGTTTCATCACGATAACGCACCAGCGCACACGTCAATCGTTGCGACGGCTAAAATCAACGATCTAAAGTTTGAATTGATGCCGCACCCTCCTTACTCTCCAGACCTAGCCCCGAGTGACTATTTTCTGTTCCCTAATCTCAAAAAATGGCTTGGCGGTAAGAGATTTGCGGACAATGAAGAAGTAATCGAAGCTGTAAATGGTTATTTTGAGGAGCTTGACGAATCAGTCTATAGAGATGGCATTAATAGACTGGAACACCGCTATGAGAAATGTATCAGCCTTGGAGGAGATTATGTTGAGAAATAAAAAAAAAAAATTTTTAAAAACCTTGTTTTTCTTGGTCAGGCCGGAAACTTATCAATCCACCCTCGTAAAACACATAAATATTCTTTTTTGTTTCAAATATACAAAATCGATAGAAGTTTACGTTATAAAAAGCATTCTTGCTGACGTTGCTGCGAGATTTTATTTTCTTTTTGGCAAGGACAATTTTTCTAATCTAAAAAATTTTGCAAATCAAAACAGACATTGACCCACATAAAAAATGTAACACCAAAACATTTTTTAACGGTCATGACCATTACGTATGTGAAAAAATAAATATGTTGTTGATACATTTCACAAATTTTAGTGACTACTATTTCTGCTTTTTATAAGGTCATCTGAGGGAGTACAATTTAATAATTAGATGTATTAACCCACTACATCTACAGATCTTAAGTAGATAATGCCTATAAATTAAAAAAAAGAAACTCATTCTCATTGATTTATAGAGTTGGAGTAAAAAAGAAACAAAACGTTACTTCTTTTTGATAATGTGTGCTTCATAAAAAAGTTTTACTAATTATTTTCGGTAGTTGGAATGAATGAAAATAGAGTAGGTCAGAAGTCTAGGTCCGAAATGAGAAAATTCGATGGTCATCGAGTATCAGAGTATCAGAAGAGCGAATCTAAAGTTTTATGAATTTAATTTTTAGAAGGGAGCTCTGAAGACCAGGAAAGAAAATTGTTGTACTTGTTATTTAGTCTAGTAAAAACTCTTGTGCTTATTTTTGTAATGACCGTTGGTTTTTGTCTCGACTTACTGTAGGGAGAACCATTGCGAGATTGAGCGGCGGAGGCGAAACAAGATGACAGCTTACATCACCGAGCTTTCCGACATGGTGCCCACCTGCAGCGCCCTTGCAAGAAAACCGGACAAGTTGACCATCCTTCGGATGGCCGTCGCCCACATGAAAGCACTCAGAGGTGAGCAAATTATCACCAATAGCACGATTACTAACACCTGCATACCAACCACTATTAAACTGTCGGAAAATATGACAGCCAATTATCTCTCTTTAAAATTATCGGACGCATTTTGCCTGTTCTTACGCTGGCTGCCAATAATTGAGAAAATTACACAGCCGTTTGCTCCTACGATATTTACTGGTAATTGCACGGCTGACGATTATTATCTATATCGAAATCGTAACAATCTTTAAAGAATCAGTTAGATTCGCTTCGAACAAGATGAGAAACAGCCACAATCCATTATTTTTCTCTTTCCCGCGCATCTTCTTTCTGCCTTTTAATTAAATAAACTTGTCGGTAAAATCACCCTTAACTGCACAATATTCATTATTTACTGATTTAGAAATGCTTTTGTTTTAATTCTGTCAATCAAAACATTCGTCTTAGTTGATCAATGTCAGTTTTTTATAATGGCATTAATGATCGCAGTTATTCTTGCAACGGTGAAGCAAGCGATATACGGGAGAGGGAGGACGTTTCTACTTCTGCCTCATCGTTAAGTAAGCGATTGCCGCGCACTATTTGCTAGAGCGGATTGATTTCTGTCAATTAACACACATAATACACATTTTTTTTCATGGACACGTAAAATTTATTGCCTTCAACTGTATTCATTGGGCATTCGGAGACCGAATTTCCAATTTGGGTTTCTATTACAAAAGTTGGTTTTAGTTAATTTCATTTTATTGAAAATGAGATAAGCACACTATTTTCTCTACAATTTATAAAATTAGTATATTCAATATTCTAATTAAATTACAAGTATGGCGTAGATATAACAAAGTTTGATGACTATCTAAACTTGAGTGGTGCACGACATTAAAATCTTAATCGTAGCAATCTTATACATTAACCTAACCTAACCCTATGACTTTACTTAAACACTAGATGCATAATACTTTAGCTACGTACGCCCATGAGGAAATCCTCTCTTAGCATAACTTAAATAAGACTCATGGTATATGGTGCTTGACACATATAAGCCAAAGAGAAACCTTTCCCACCATGGCCTAACCCATTAGGTACCGATGAACCTCTGGTATAAGGCACTTCACCCAAGTAAAGCAAAGTAACCTAACCCAAACTAGCCTAACCTAAGCCTATAGGATAAAACACTGAACATAATTCAGTTGGGGAATCCCCCGTTACAATTATCTAACATAAGTCCAAGATTCGTAGCACTTCACACATGTGAAACAAGTTTCTTCCACTAAATATTGACATTTAAACACGTCCGACATGTCAAAATTTGTAGCTAATTTGTATAGTTAGTTCGATTCTTTTTATTAGACATTTTAGTGGTGAGTCAATTACAGAATGTTTTATATCATTAGCTGTCTCAGCTGCATGCATTTTCTTTACAAAGATAGATACGTGGAATATTATTAAACAGTGTTTGTTTTTATTAACAGCACTTACGAATTTCTGAATAACCGAATGTAGGTGCATTACTAAACACTAACTAATACAAAAAAATGCGTCGAATTGATTTTGCGTGACAGTTTTGAATTTGAAAAGCTAAATTTTGTTCCGGTTTTAAAACAACGCTTTATCTAAACATTTTTTTTTAAGTGTATTTACGGATCGCTAATAGCCATTCACTTCAGTTTTAATGGCTAAGATGATATGCACATTCATTTTTAATGTTTTAGAGGTCACGAACAAAAAAAATACTTACAGCTATATTGCGGAACAGTGTTAAATTTATAGTTGTTTTTATATTATGTTATGGAGCAAGCCACAAGGGGTTTTCTTTATTAATAAAAACTGTAACAAAGGTATTTCATTTGCAATAGATATTCTATTGTCGTCAATACCATTCGAAGAAAGAAAAATTATATTATTTATAGATCTATGATCTAAGGCACAGTATGTCTAAATGTGACGCATCTTTTTATGTATGTGTATCGTAATAAATTACTGGGTACGATATGCAATCTTTGTGCTATCCTACATACGTGTATAATAATATACAATACTAATGTTAGCCGAGACATGATGTCTTTCGTTTCAATACCAGAGTTGTATCCGACTAGGTTTGAGAATATAAATCATCTTCTAGATTGTTTTTACGAATACTGTATCGCGGTACAGTTAGTGGGCAAAGATAAACTCCAGTAATAATTTGTAGTTGCGGTGGCATTAATAGACGATCTTTAAAAATTGAATCGACTTCTTCTAATTCCACAATTAGTAACAACACGAAAAACAGAAAACAAATAGGTACAATTGTAATTATTTTTTCCACTCTATAGAGATATAATTGTAGGTATTGCATTTTGTGACTAAAAATTAAACTAATGAGAACTTTGAAAGAATGCGATTTGGGTCTCCACAAACGAAGGAGGGTGCGGGGCGAATACGGGCTCGGCTGTAACCTGGTGCTGGGGTTTATTAACAAAACTATAAATGAATTGTATCTGTTTGTTCATAAAACTATGTCTAACATTAAGTTTGACTTGACAGTCGCCAGAAACCCGAAGGTTATAGGTACGTTGTATTTTTGATTTTGCAATTCCTGGTGAATGTTCTCTGAGCGATTTTTGTCTATTATTTTACCTTCATATTTTTGGGGAGAAGTAGCAGCTATCGATTAAGCCATATTAATTATTATTATGCTAAAATTCTTACGTTGTTGGCAAATTATCGCTTGTCTTGCTATTGCTGTTAAGTCGAAAAGTTTTTGATCAGTAATGAGGATGTTGGTCCACGCTTGGTATTTAGTTTAAAGAAGCTACCGAGTTTCCTACATATGTGTATACATACGAAATTTTTATAAGATTGAAATGCATATTTCACCAAGTATTTTCTTTTTTTGTATTTCAAGTATTATCAATATTCATACTGTAAGGAATGGTTAAATTACGGTGCAGTCAATCCATCGAGGTATTTCTCTCCAGTACTTTCAATATAACGATTTTGAGAAGATTATTTTAGGAAGTGATACTGCTTTGGTGCAATTTATAAATTAGGTAATCCAAATTAGGGGAGGAGAGTCCAGCCTGTCGTTACGAGGGGGAGGGCATCAAGTTATGCGTTACGTGACGATTGTAGAACTGAAGGGTGAACAGATTTAAATGTTTATACATTGAAAAAGGATATGCATCCTTGGGTTGAGATTTCGGCTACATTAGTAAGAGGCTGGACAATCTGTGGAACTACTCTACCAATTCTTCGACTAATAGATAGCTTTACAACTATGAGTAATTTGAATAATGCAGGGTATATTTTATTATTTCAATATTTGTAAAGCACCTCTGGACTGGGTTATCAACTATATATAGTATTTGAATAAAGCATTTGCAAATTTTGTTTGGAGACATGCAATTTGAGTTACGTGAAAAGAAAGACCGATCTTTCACGTGTTAACGGAGTTTTTTAAACTCATTTTACAATAAACGTTATCTTTTGGAGCACGCAAAGTTTCCTTAACAAATCTTTTCCTAGTAACGGACTACGTTTAAAAAGTTTCTAAGAAACCAGCAAAAGGTTTCGCGTTTTACTTCACTGCACGCATTTTGGCATTTATAGTAATATTCAATAGTTACATATTTATTACTTGAATATATATTTTAAAAAGTCGATATTTGTTTGGGGTATCTATGCATATCCAAAAATTGTAGGATTAGGCGTAACTGGCATATGACCAATGCATTTTTTTCGGACATTGGAGGTGTGAACGTAAAAAATTGGATACTAAAAAGGAAGTTAAGCTAATCTAACACAATCGTAATCTAATCTACATAGTAGAGCCCCAGTTGTATAGTTTTATCAATATTCCATTTTTTACAAAAAAGACAAAATTGACCTGTAAAACCTACAACTGTCAGGTTTTACTAATGCCTGAAAAGAGGGAATGTGTTTATAAAGGAATAAATTGTAAGTATTGAACTGTCTTAAAATGTTTGACGTTTTATTGCCCCTACTGTGCATTTAGACTTGTAATTTTAAAAATCAGAAATTACCTTTTCAAGTAACAGAGTTTTAATTTTTACTCAAAGAAAAGTCAGGAAATTAATTTTTGGTTTAGTTTTATTCGATTTTGTGAATTAATCCTATACGGAGAGGTCAGCTTGGCGTTATGGTCTTGTTACTAGGGAAAGGGTGGGGCTCAATGTTAGCATTACGTAACGATGTTATAATTAATTTAAAATGAATTATTGAAAATTGAAAGACCTTTTTTGTAAATGAAGCCAAAAACTTTTATAATGTTATGTAATGGAGTAGTAAGGTGTGAAAGGGGTCAAAAATTGATTAATTTGTTGTGTGTCGTTCATCATTGATAAAAACAAACGTGGAAATGTTTTGGTTTATTAGAAATGTTAGATTAATCTGGCGTGTTTTGTTGGCGTTGTTGTGGTAATGTTAAAACAAGATCCTTAAGCTGCCCGAGCTTTAGAGGCTGTATCTTAATATCTTCATGTATGGGGATGTTTGAGGTCAAGCGGTTTAAAAAAGAGTAAGAAGCGTCTTATGGTAGGTAAGAGCGGCTGCTGCATTTCGTTATCGGTGCAATCTTTGGAATGCTCTTCCTCGGAAATTGCCCATGTTTATATTTATTAAGGTGAAATAGCAGCAAGTGGGGTACCATTTAGTCACGACCGTAGTATTTTATTATTTTTGCGCTGGTATATCTACATTAAACCGGCAGTGTCTTCGTGTAGTTATAACCAAGGCACATAACTCAAAATCGTCGTATTCTTTAAAACGAACGAACGAACGAACGAAAGGATCGTTCTTTTTATTTATTCGCTTTATTCCCTTTCGATATTCTTTTTCGAACCGACACATATACTCTCGGTAACAGTACGTACCTGAAGTACTTGTAACCCATACCTATCGTTGTGTTTGTGTATACGGTTGTTCGATACGGTGGTCTTTCTATAAGAAGACCAACGAACTGACTGCCTTCTTCTACTACTCGGTAGCTACCTTGACTGCCCTTAGAAAAGACTCTGCCGATGCTATCTCGTTAGTTATGGGCCACAGGAAACCAACTCGTAGGGAGAAGAAGCGTACACCAAGATTAATACCCTTATTATTTAAATAAAGTACAAATGTGTTCTCTCTACACCGCTATACTATACTAGCCGTCTATTTTATGTCCGCGTACTTTGAAAATAATTAGTGCATTTATCTCTATTTATCTTGCTACTTTCCTCTACCAACTAACTTATAGAGCCACCATATACATGTTTCTGTTTTTGCTTTGCTTTTCACGATCTCTATTTATTTACAACTTTCCTTTACAAAACAAAAAGAATCCGAATGCATTTTGCCTTCCAACTACCATAGATTCGCACGTATTTATTTTCTTACACATTTCTATCTGTTGTCTTTGAACTGCAAAATAAGTTAAAAATTTGCGCTTCTTTTACTTTATTTAAAAACGGTTGGTTTATCTCTCTCTCTTTCTCCCTCTTTATACTTTAAATCAATTTTGAACCATTTGTTTAAAATGTATAAAAGCTTTTGTAGTTTTTGAGGGTTCGTCCGTACGTCCAAATGAAAAACAGAACCCTTATGGGATCACTCCTGTGTCAATTTGCTCCTAATATACTGGACTGATTAAGTTGAAATTTAGTGCAGGGTCGCATAACGTAAATAAATTAATTTTTGGGCGACCAATAAAAAATTTAAAAAAAAGTTTTACAAACCGTACCGTATGACATACCAAACGAAAGGGCTTCTTGTAAGGATCTCAGGTGAAAATTGACATTTTCCCTCTTATTTTTAAAACTACAGACCTTTGAATTAATTTAGAAAATAGTTCTTTAGATACTAATTAAATTAATAAGAAATCTATAGTCTGAACATAACGTGGTAAATGTTTCAATAAAATTATATGTTTTTTTTTCAACTACAATGTTAAGTTGATTCTTGGTTGAGGGTTCCGTACGTGCAAATAAAAAATGGAACCCTTATATGATCACTCGTGTGTCTGTTTGTTTGTTTTTTTGATTCACAATCAACAACGAAACAACATTGATATACTAATTTTAACTACCTCGACAATGTAAAAAAAATGAATAAAAGGTGTTGATTGCCGTACCATTTTATCTATTTTTAACTAACGTAATAATTTCACAAGACTTTCATTGCTTGTTGCATCGGAAAAAGTTACAACTTTGTAGACATAAATGTGCCATTACAACATTGTTTGCGCAATCCGTTTTTACGAGCTTGTATCCATTAATGTTTAACAACATTTTAATTTATTTTAAATTTCGTGCTATTACGATCAATTTAAAACATTATTCGTTTTCTTTTTTTTTTTTGTCAGCGACGTATCTGTTATTGGTTTCGTTTTAATAAAAGAAAGTTTATGCATACACGTGTCGTTATGATAAACTCAGGTGCTGAGCGCGCGCTATTTCGGTTGAATTGCGCTTAAAATATTTCCACATCAGCTTATTTAAATACAAAGAACTTGTGAGCAGCACAAGAAAAACGAATATGTATATGTATATAGTCATTGTATTATTACCGATTTAGTCATTGTTCCAATGTTTTCTTACCTTTTTGCAATTGCAATACGTTACGGCATTAAAAATTAAAAAAAAAAAAAATGAAGAAAAATAATGGCACTTCTTGTACTGCCAAGTTCTTGAAACTTAATTATTGTTGAATCTGAAAAAGACAATCATTTGTCCTCTTGCAGAGCAAGATTGTATGCAAGGGAAGGCAACATTGGAACGGGCGTATATCGCTGGGGACCATCAGAAATCTTCAGAACATTTAAATGGTAATGCAGAAGGTAAACTTTACCTGATGTGCATTAAATATATATTTTTTTATTGTACCATTGCGGTATGGTCTTTTTTAAACTAAAGCACCATCCTGCTGCATGATATAGGTACCTAACTTTAACAATACGAGATAGAAATTATCTTTTTTACCTGCTTCTTTTAAAAATGCATGACTTGTTGTTGAAGAAATTTTATTCTGGGTCTGCTAACACTCAAATAAAATTACAAACTTCCATCAAATAAGCATTTTGTACACGTTATAAATATAAATTAATACGTACTTATCTATGTCAAAGAATTGCTCACAATTTCCAAAATATTTTGTTATTTGTTGGTTTGTTACTTTATCGCAATTTTTAAATAATTATCTTGTAGAAATTACTTTGTAATCACGTAACATTATGTCTGCTATAGTTCTCCGTTTTCATAACAACAATGTCTTCAGCATTGGGGTCACTAACGTTACCGTTTTCTGTTTTAGAAAATCGGTATATTTTAAGCGATACATACATACGTCGACGAAAGACAGACAGTACAGAGCATTGTTCTTACTTACATACATAATACGTACTAATTTTACATATTAATTATGCTCAGCTTTTAACGACCTCTCAAATAAACAACTATTCAAACCCACCCTTAACCGAACAAAATTATTGCACTAATTTTAGTTACTTGCGCGTTATTTTTTTTTTCTGTGGAAGTTTTGACAAGATATTTTTTTACACAGTGCAAGGTAAGTATAAAGAAATATTTTACCGTTGAAAATCTATTAGCGATAGATAAGTTTACAAAGAACGTTTTAAAAATTGCCCGTTACCGTAAGCAGCCATTTTGAATTACCAAGAAAAGTCACACTTCGAATATAAATTATGGTACAATACAATACATACATACATCCGTTTTAAAACTCTATGAGAACACTTGTTGAATATTAATTAGATTCTTATTCATTTGCACGCAAAACAAAAAGCGCGAACGACGAAAAAAATAAAACGTCGACCGCATTTTGCAAAAGAAAAGTAACGCCATTTCATCACCATGGCATTTCCTTGATTGAAATTCACACCTTAATGTTTATCTTACGCCAATAACCGAATTACAAATATGTATTTACCTGTACACATATTATACCATGCAGCAAGAAGAATGATTTACAATCAATAGTTAGAAAAAGGATTTTTCCCTTTTCATAGTACGTACGTACGTATCTAATAAAAATAGTCTTTAGTTGTAGAAGAAGAGTTTGTTAGTGTATCCGTCAGGACGAGGTTCAGACGGGCGGCCAGCTGTTCCTTTCGTTTCAAGAAACAGTACACGGGCTCTTTGGCTTGTCGCTCGGTGAAAAATTTCGCCATCGCGGCGCTCCGACGCGACGGGCTGTCGTACTCAGCGATGAGCAGCGCTCGGAATTCGGGAAATGGCAGCTGTAAACCTTGGTACGGGCGGTACCAGGCTCGCGCTTCCCCATCCAGCTGGTCGGCGGCGACGTCACTCTGTTGCTGCGGATCCGGTGGGCCGTGCTGATGGAAGTGTTCCTCGAGGCGGGTCAGGAAGACTTCGGGATCCATCTCAGGTGATCCGCCGAAACGGGGCAGTGGGCCAGGACGTGGGGCGGATGGCCGTGTTAGGCGATCCAGCAATTCCTGGACAATGTCGTTGGTGGTTGGTTTTGGGCGCCACTGACAGTTTTCGAAACCCTCTGTCAGTAGGGTAGGCGTTTGTGGGACGCTTGTGGCACTTTCCGCCTTGGCTGCTGGTACCTTGGGCGTTGAGGGGCTGGGCCACTCATCCTGAACCTGGAACCGGGCAGGGCTACCGGCGACCGGCGTTGGCGGTGCTGGTTGTGTTGNTTAAATTACAGGAATTGTTTGTTTATATAACGAAAAGACTGATTTTTAAACGAATGGTACTGTTACAAAGCACTTATTTATGATCTTTTTCGTCTTAACTTTAATTGAAGCTATTTTTCAGGATCTGTCTAAATGTGTTAATTGAATTTATTTATTATTAAACGTTTGGTTTAAAAAATTGCGACAAGTTTCTCACAAAAGCTCATGGGTTGTTGCAGCCACGCCAGTTAAATTACAATTAAGTAAAGTGTAGAGTGTGTTATTTGTTTTTAATATAAATCGCGAATACGTAACAACCCTTTGAGCGTATTAGAAGGCATATCACATTTCTTTTAATTACTGGGTACCACTGTAGTTAATTTTAAGGAAGTTTAAAATAGGCTACAATTTACATTCTATTAACAGTAGTTGCAATAAAAATAAAACTTATTTTCTTTAACTTGAACAGCAAATATAAAATAGTAAGTTAATTTACAAAAAAATCTTTTTTTAAATCTATATTAAACGGTTGTTTTTTATCCATATTACTGATACACCTTTAAGCTGGAATCTGCAAAAGTTTCAGATTATTAGCTCTTGGTTAATTGGTAGTATGCATAAAGTCGAGGGCACAAAATAGTCTCACATTTGTTAAGTACTCATTACATTTGAAATGCATACAAATATAAGTAGAATTTACTACTTATATTTTTGAAAATAGGAACTCATTTGAGAGGATACTATCAAATATGCGTACAAAAATTTGAGTGGAGGGAGTAGATTCTCAAAGTAATAGAATAAAGTCCCTTAGTATACATTTTAAATTGAGTGGTTGCTTTAAAAATATTAGACTATATTAAGCACTCAACTATATGCACAATATCCTTGAGTTTTTTCGCTTAATTTTTATTTTATTCGAATGACGGTTTTTCTAAGTAGGGAAAATATTAGATATGTTTACAGGTGTGCAAATTGATAGGCAGAACGAAGAAGAGTTACATGCATCACATTGCTGTTTAGTGGCCATTGGAAGGTTACAAGTTACTTCGACACCTAATACCAGTGACCTTTCCGGGTCAAACAATACAGCTGAATTTATTTCTCGTCATTCTATAGACGGGAAGTTCAGTTTTGTGGACCAAAGGGTAATGGGTATATTGGGATATCCACCAACTGAACTTCTGGGTAAAAGTTGCTTTGACTTCTTTCATCCGGAGGACCAAACGCATATGAAGGACAGTTTTCAACAAGGTATTTCGGTGGTTTTCGTTCTAAATACTTCCTTTTATTTAATCGTCCTTTTTTATAGTTCTAAAATTGAAAGGTCAAGTTCTCTCAGTAATGTATCGTTTTCGAGCGAAAAATAGAGAATGGGTGTGGCTACGTACTTCGGCCTTTGCATTTCTGAACCCATACACCGATGATGTTGAGTACATTGTCTGCACAAACACCACCGCTAAGTCTTTACATCCAGGCACCGAAACAACCCCCGAAACTACAGAATCTGTAGCGTACCAGCAACCTGGGTTAGATTACAGCATGCAACGAAGAGATCCAGGACTTTACTCTCATATGCTTCCCACCTCGCAAATACAAAGTAAGTAAAATGAATTGAAAATATATATATAGTACAATTTGTCAGTTAGCCTTGTAAGAAATACTTGTAAAGTGGTTGACGATCTAGTAATTGTTAAAAAAGAAAATTTATGTTCAGCTCCTCAGCAAGTGGCTAGGCCAAGCAGTGGCCAGAATGTATATAGCAATTACGAGCCTACGGCGTCACCTATAGCTTATGGTTCTCCATCTCAAGCCAGTGCAGGAACTAGCAGTACAAACGTTTTGAGTCGATTAGCAAAAGGTACTACTACAAGTCCAACTCCTGCAGCGGCTCCATGGAGCCTGCGCCAACCACAAGCGGCTCCAGAAGGTTACCAGTACAATCAGCCTAGTCCTAGGTCACCGGGACCTACATATACCCAATTGAGTGGCGGTACCAGGGGTGCAACTGGGCCAACTTCGTACCAGTGGACTTGGCAAAGTTCAAACCAAGGCTCAGATTCTGGTGGTGCTGGATCTAGTGGATCTGGTCAACCACCGCAGCCACAGTCACATGAACTATCAGATATGTTACAGATGCTAGATCAAGGTGGTACGGCCTCATTTGAGGACCTGAATATGTTCAATACCACTTTCGAATAATAAATTAACTTGTGAATGGACAGCGGGTGTGGTTTCCGAGTTAGTGTCTTATCAAACTGTGGTCTGACTTCGGAAGAACAGTACCCTGGCTATCAACGAACGCTTTGTGGGTTTTTATCTATGTAGTGGTTACAAAATTTACAGGTTTCCCTGTGCGTTTAAACACTGGGAGTGTGTAAAATATTTCGTTGATTCAAACGGAGGAATTTGTTGCTTAAGAATTTTTTTAAATATTATTTTAATTTTTCTTTAGATATTTTCGTTTTCCTTTTTAGAAATCATAAATTACGTGAACTTTTAATAAAAAATTCTTTTTTAATTCTGTAGTTTTTATTTTTAATTATTTAAATGTCTAGTTCCAAAAACTAGTGTCGTGTTTAAGTTGAAATTTAAAAATATCTAACAACACTTAATTAAATTACAGGGAATTGTTTGTTTATATAACGAAAAGACTGATTTTTAAACGAATGGTACTGTTACAAAGCACTTATTTATGATCTTTTTCGTCTTAACTTTAATNCTTTAAATCAATTTTGAACCATTTGTTTAAAATGTATAAAAGCTTTTGTAGTTTTTGAGGGTTCGTCCGTACGTCCAAATGAAAAACAGAACCCTTATGGGATCACTCCTGTGTCAATTTGCTCCTAATATACTGGACTGATTAAGTTGAAATTTAAAAATATCTAACAACACTTAATTAAATTACAGGAATTGTTTGTTTATATAACGAAAAGACTGATTTTTAAACGAATGGTACTGTTACAAAGCACTTATTTATGATCTTTTTCGTCTTAACTTTAATTGAAGCTATTTTTCAGGATCTGTCTAAATGTGTTAATTGAATTTATTTATTATTAAACGTTTGGTTTAAAAAATTGCGACAAGTTTCTCACAAAAGCTCATGGGTTGTTGCAGCCACGCCAGTTAAATTACAATTAAGTAAAGTGTAGAGTGTGTTATTTGTTTTTAATATAAATCGCGAATACGTAACAACCCTTTGAGCGTATTAGAAGGCATATCACATTTCTTTTAATTACTGGGTACCACTGTAGTTAATTTTAAGGAAGTTTAAAATAGGCTACAATTTACATTCTATTAACAGTAGTTGCAATAAAAATAAAACTTATTTTCTTTAACTTGAACAGCAAATATAAAATAGTAAGTTAATTTACAAAAAAATCTTTTTTTAAATCTATATTAAACGGTTGTTTTTTATCCATATTACTGATACACCTTTAAGCTGGAATCTGCAAAAGTTTCAGATTATTAGCTCTTGGTTAATTGGTAGTATGCATAAAGTCGAGGGCACAAAATAGTCTCACATTTGTTAAGTACTCATTACATTTGAAATGCATACAAATATAAGTAGAATTTACTACTTATATTTTTGAAAATAGGAACTCATTTGAGAGGATACTATCAAATATGCGTACAAAAATTTGAGTGGAGGGAGTAGATTCTCAAAGTAATAGAATAAAGTCCCTTAGTATACATTTTAAATTGAGTGGTTGCTTTAAAAATATTAGACTATATTAAGCACTCAACTATATGCACATCACCCTTTATCATAGGAAATATTCTTTTTTTTTTTTTATTGCATACTACTGTAGGTTTGTTCCGTGCATTTTAAATTAATAAATGCATCACGTACTTCGCGTAAGCCCTTCGTTTATTGGGCAATTGTACAAATAAACTTTCCATACTGAATACCACTACAAAAGAAATATTGGCGTCCAGAATGATGATAATAGCTTAAGTAACAAACAGCATTAGACTTGTTTTTTGTTTTTTTTAATTTTTATTTGTTACACTAGTAGTTGCAGTTAAAAATATGACCTAAAACACGTTCTAGAATAATTAATTGTGAAAATGTAAACGTAAAACACTGTAAGTTAATGATAGTTTGATGAGTCGGTTTGTGTATTAGGTATATTGAAAGAGCTGCAACATGTAATGCCTTTTGTGCTTTGCAAAAATATGCTATAAAACAATTTTGTAAAAAGTAGCAATTTTATATTAATATAATTATTACCATATTTGGTGTATTTTATTGAATCTTAGTTTCTAAACTTATTGTACAAAGCAAAGCACAGTTACTTTTTTAACATTAAAAAATTATATTTTAAAGCTACAAGTCAATAAATAATCAAATACCTTCCTTCATTTTTTAAATGTTCCTCAAACAATTCAAGCGAAATTCTTGGCCAGCAGGTAAGTTAAATAATAATTTTAATTCTACATCGTAATTCCCACATTTTGCAGGATTTAGCAAGCATGTTAATTAAGAAGAATCGAGTGTTTGGGAGTGATTGGTGGAGAAAATTGCACGTTTAATATCTAGAACGATTCGATAAAACTAAGGCTGTTTATCAAATTGTAAATTAAGTATAAGAAATTTAGTTTTTTTTACGAAACGAAATTTGTATCAATCATTTCTACATAAAAGAAATAAAAATCTGTTTGGTAACTAGTACGGTTAACATGAATCGATAATAACGGGATTAAGTGCAGTTTTAATAGAATTATTCCAGTGTATTTAGATAGAATATTTCTTTATTAGAACGTTATGTTTTATATTTATTACATGGTGCATTGAACAATAAGTTTTTAATTACATCGTCTTCTGAATTGAACATTTTGTTCGTATTTTAAAGCAATTTTTGAATATTTTACGGCCAATTTTGCTTTCTAGATAAGGTATTTCGGTGTATTTTAATTAGTTTTCCTTCATTTTTTAAAATGTTCAACCGAATTCCTTCGCCTACAGGTAAATTAAATAATAATTGTATTATTAAATCCTAATTCTCAAATTTTGTAGGACTTATAAGGATACTAACTAGGAAGAATTATGCGCAGGAAGTAGTAATTAGTGGAAAAATTTACAAGTTTGAAATCTACGACTTGATAAAATTAAAGGTATTTGTAAAAAATTGCTCAATTGAGTATAAGTTAGTTATTCTTGTTTATGGTGGATAAAAAAAACAAAAATATATTTTTTGGCAATTTATTTAACCATGTACTTATTTTTTATCACAGACTCTTCCTTTAAAGTACAATCGTTAAGACTATTGAGCTACAATGGTTTTAACAGCCTGTTCTTGTTTATGATTACAAAACGAAATGAGTAAATTTATTAACATAATATTGACGCTATATATAGATCGTTTCTAAACAAAACAAACGGACACTTTATAACGCAACATAAAAATCTATTTAGTAACTAATACGATTAACATAATTTGATACTAGTAGAACATAGTATATTTTTTATATAATTATTCAAGAAACGGCATTATTAAGTGTACATATGTTATCGATATATTAAATGATCAGACGAAAGAATATTTTTTTACCAAAATGTTCACTAGTGTATAAAAATATAGTTTTTCTCTGAATCTCAAATTAATTAGTTATCGTGCTTTAAAAGCACATTAATCTGACCATCAATATTTTATGGACATCATGTACACAAATTTAACAAATAATATTGCATTTCATATGTTTCGAACTAAAAACGCTGAAGTAAAACACTAACTTGGAAATTTTAGCAGACTAAACAGATTAAACTAGTTATAAAATTCAACACTTATCGAACAAGAACATATTGCTTCTAAAATAATAAAAATCCAACTTAATTGATAATTCTTAAACCAACAAATATGAAAAAATAACATCACATTTTTGCACTCTTATACTGTACTTTTTTCAATAACGTTTTTTATGCAATCCTTAGGGAAAAAAAATTAAAAAAAAAGTGATTTAATGTTACATAGTTAGAATTTGTACTTTTTAAATAAAATATTGGAAAAGAATCCTGAGAATCCAATCTGCGTAAAAAAAATATTTTAAAAATATTACAATTAGTAAAAAACGTAATGTAAATAAACCCAGAGAACACTTACAAAATATTTACATAAAATCCCTAAAAGATTAACGGAGTAATTACTGACTAGTATGTTAAATATTATACACTCTTTTTGAACCTAATTTCTGAGTTCATAATAAACCACTCCAGATATAATAGCAAACACACCTAACAAAACCATCGAAAAGTGCCTTGCGGTCGATAACGCCAGTATCAGAATTTTCAAAACTGTGGGACGTTCTGTAGACACCATACAGGTCCTGAAATTGTTTTTAAGGTGGAAAAGTGAATAATTTTACGTTTAAACGAATAAAACACTCACCCCTCGCGATGTATGAAGATCCATTGAAAGCAACATAAATGCTCCATCATATCGATAGTGGAGAACAACATAATGTTGAATATTTTTGTCGGGCGATATAAAAGATCTAATATTTTCGCCATATTTTACAACAAGTAATTTAGCAAGACCTTGATACCACGATAATGGTTGATTTAAAAGCGATGCCAAATTTGGTTGAATATCAGACAAATTTTCTAATCTTGCTAAACCTTTTAATTCCATAAATTCAGAATATGTTAATGTATTTGAATCTTGCCTTGAAGCCAACTTATTCCATAATATGTGAGTTCGACAATCCACCATACCTTAAATTTATTAATATTACTTATTTTAATATAATGTATTTAACAATTATTACCTTGTTCAACCATTTCTTGTATTTGTTTTTTAATTGAATTGGCTTGATCAAACATTAGTTTTTGCATTAATTGTTCGTGTGAAGAGTAATATCCCAAATAATTAACAGCTTCTTGTTTAATTTCGACATATTGATCAGCACAGATTTGTTTTCTCTCATTGGAATTGCCCTTTAAACTTTCTTCTAATGAATTGATAGAATTTTTTGATCCTTCTTTTTCTTCAGTTTCTTTATATGAACCACTTTCGCTTAGTTTTGAGACAGATGGCTCATCCAAAGACCTTTCTACATTTAAATCAATTTGAGGAGGGGTTTCTTCAGAATCTTGAAATTTTCTAAATTTTGTGAGACAATGGAACGACGAAGATACTGTCCGAAATTTACCCAGTTTACGATCGGTCTCCAGTTTAGGATAAATTTCCCTTTAAAACAATAAATAAATTATATATGTATTCAAGTATTAAATTTTTACTTTACCTTCTTGAAATTAAAATAACGTAATATTTTAAAACGAGAACGTTATCTGCAAAATTGGATGCATTATTAAGTCTTGTAATTATAACGGTTATATCAAAGTCGTCGGTTTGCTGACAATCCTGAGAGTCTTTGTAAGACATCTGTGGCATATTTGAAACTTGAACTAACACATATTCATCTTCTTTACTTTCATTTTTTCTCATTGTAAAAGTTTTCATTTTGTACTGACCTATGTTAAATAATAAATAATCATATAATTGTTTCCCTTCCGTTAATAAATCGCTGATAACAACCGTTTCTAAAAAGGACATATAGTTTAAGTTATTATAAATAACACATTATTATTCATTTCTACCTTCATGAACTAAGTTTTGGGCGAAGTTTGGCCCTTTATTATAATATTTCATAAAATCATCAAGGAAATTTGTGAGGTCGAATTTATCGCAAATTTTTGAATTAGTACCATTTGAAACGTAATCGTGGACACATCTCAAGTGAAAATCGTATGTAAAGGAATGTAAATGCATAAAAACTTTAATTCGATCGCATTCGTCAATAAAACTTAACGTAAACTGCAAAAATTTCATTATATAGGAACAGTACTAAAACGTTATAAATTTATCTTAACCTGGTTTATTGCAGTTCTAGAACTTGCTGTTTGTAATCTGCTACACTCTATAGCGTATAGTTTTGTTGCCAAAAACGGCTCAGAAAATTTCATAGTAAAAATTAAAATACCACCCAACATAGTTTTTTGGAAATAGAATGTATCCTTGTGAATAAACTGAATTCCTTTTTTCTCATTCCTGTAAAAATTACAATAATTACTTACTTTTAATTTTCCAACATTTTTACTTACGCATTTAAACTGTTATCAATTTGCAAAGGTACAAATCCAAGCCCTTGTAAATATCTTTGGTACTCTGTGATAAAAGTGGCACATAAATTATAATGCCAAGAGTCATCTTCATGATCAACAATTTTATTATTTAGCAAAGGAACGTTAAGAGAATGGTCTCTGGTTGCCGCTGCTTGAACTCTCCATCTTTTAAAACAGAAATTAAACAATTATCACTAAAGTAAATGGAAAATATACTACTACCTTGGCAAAAACAGAAATGGAGTGAAACAAAAATGTATAACTCGTGCATTTTGCTTTAAAATTTGTATCTGAGATTCGGAACTGCTGCTAGTTCTTGATTGCCACATGCAATGTAATTTTTTAAGTTCCTCTAGAAAAAAATCATAATAAAAACTTCATCAATAAATTACAATAACCTACCTTTGTGTTTTTTGTCAGTCTTTTTAAGTTCATGCATTTCCATTGTGAAAATAGCCACAGGGTCGTTGTAACATTGCTTAATATTATGAAAAGCATCTCTAAATACATCTAAAGCACCAAAAGAAATAGGATTGTTGGTACTGGAAATTGAACCACGTTTATTTTTGTCCTTTGAAAATTTTAAAACTGCTTCAACATCGCCCACAGCACAAAAGTATGGATTAGTAGACGGTATCTAAAGAATAAAAAGATAAAATGACAAGATTTGAATGAATAAAATAATAAAGATTACTGTTTTCCTAGAGAGGACTTGATTGTGGAACAATCCAAGTTTTTGAGCAGTAACAGATGCAAGAATACCAGCTCTCATATTCAACCACATACCAAAATGATTGATATATTCAGTTAATTTATCAACATTATCCTTGGGCCAGTTATAAGTGTATAAAACAATCTAAAAATGGAATTACATTAAAATTTCAAAACATCTGCAACGAACAATTATACAATCACGTACGTTATCATTTTTAACTGATGCCCAGAAAATTTTCTGCCTAGGAACAAACTTTTTGTCAGGTGTAATAACAGGAGTAAACTTTTGTGAATGTTTTAACGTCTGTGTACTGATAACTCCTAAGTAAGCTAAATCAGTATTGCAGGAAATTGAAGCTTTCCACTGTTCGAAATTACGCGAGATAATAATGCATTTTTTTGGTGACTGTCCTGGAGAATATGGAACGTAATAATTAAAATAATTTCCAGTTTCACGATCTTCAACCAAAATGGAGCTGAATACTTTAGGAAAGAGATGAGTGAACTGAGAAATTAATAAGACCAGTTCTTTTACTGTTATGTATAATAGATGAGCCTTAACTAAAGGAACTGCGATTTTTCTCACTGCAACTGCTTGAATATTGTTGCCGAATTCAAGCCAATCGGGAAGCAAATCTGAACAAATTTCTGTCATAACACCACTGTCGCCCGATTCATGGGGCTCTAAGTTCAATACTGGCAGCTCAGCAGGAATCTTTTTAATATCAGGATTGTCTTTTTCTCTATAATCATCAAATGATATACACCTTCTGGCTGTTGAACCAATGGGAATTGTTCTTTTTTGTCTAGAAATTAGTGAACTTCTAAAATCCAATTTTTCCTGATGCTTCCCTAAAACTTTTGGAATATTTTCAGTGCATTTATTATCCAGGAAAACATTGCAAATTATTTCTTCGCTTGTAAAATTTTTTATTGGTTTTATTTGAATTTCGCGACCCATTAAACTGTGATTTGATAACGATTTATATTTGCCATCTTCATCAGCTGTACAAAGAGGATGCTGAAGAATATAATATTCCATTACAATGTCCCATGCAGCTTGCTGAACAGCTGTTTGCAGTTTTTGATGTAAATTTTCTGTGTTAACCCTCCCTTGTTTCCAGAGGCGAAATTCCAAATAACTTTGGAATGGATCAACTAAATTTAAAAATGTCGTGACGTAAGCGTAATATAATTAATTTAATTTCAATGAAATATAACCACCTTCATCTAATGTACTTGTAGCAACGATTTCCTCAAATGTTCGTTTCTTGAAAAGTTCTCCAAAATTTTCATCAAATTTATCAGTTATGTTATCAGATCCTTTAATTATTGCTAGAGCAATACACACTATCGCTCGACTTCCTGAAGATACACTTTGACTTTGATTATATATGAATATATTATCTTCCATATCTTTATTAAGCAAAAGATCACATTCTGTATAATCCTATACATAAAAATAACATTTAATTTAATATATTAAGAAACAAAGATACATACCATTTAATGATGATAGGTCAACACCTTCATCAGAGTCCTGTCTCTGAAAGTTTGGTTCCATAATTTAAATAACTTTTCAACATTAGGTTCACTTAACTTCCAGTGTAAGAAAAGATGAGCACAACAGTGTCATTGTTCTTGATAATCCCAGCAAAAGTTCCTTATTAATAAACAAACATTAACTGTAGTTCATTTGGAATTGTTTAAATTTGATAACTTACAGGAGACGCAAAACATGCCAGCTGTGTACGAATGTACAGGTAAAACAAAACATACTGTAGAACAATATCCATTCGGAGTTTGTCTTCATATTCATAACGACGACGAAATATTAATTTCAGATATCAACTACAAATATTTACAAGCTATCATTCACTAAGATTACATCACTTACTTCAACATAACCTTACTGCCATATAGGTTTTATGCTCATCGTTTGTTTTGATTTATTAAACTACGCATGCACATTAGCAAAATTTTAAAACCATCACCACGGTCACTGTTTACTAGAGCTACAACTTTTTGCGTTGTCTAAATTTGCTTACTATTTAATAGAATTTACTCTTTAAAATAGACAAAATTTGGTTTTCGCGTATTAGCACGATCGCTTAATTATTACTAAAGAAAATACTTACGAAAACTTGACTTTAAAGCAATTAATAACTACAAATTGTACCTAATAGTTTATGTATTCTACTAACGATAAATAAAAATTACATTCATTGCATACTTATTGATTCTCAATGTAAATTGTAAAACTTCATTTGTTCATGTAAATACAAAAAAATAAAAAAGTGTAGGTAATTAGTTAATATCTAAAATGAAAAAACANTTATCAGATCCTTTAATTATTGCTAGAGCAATACACACTATCGCTCGACTTCCTGAAGATACACTTTGACTTTGATTATATATGAATATATTATCTTCCATATCTTTATTAAGCAAAAGATCACATTCTGTATAATCCTATACATAAAAAGATAATTTACAGAAATAGTAATTTTTCAAAACCGAAAATAATTTACCTTGAAATGAAATTGAGGCCTTGAATCTGTATATTTTGGAATGTTTAAAAACTGTAGTAAATTTTGCTTTAAATAATGCGAAAAGGAATCCAAATATTTTAGTGCATAATCTTGAATACTAAGCTGTAATATAAAGTTTACTGTAATTAACATTGTAATTAAGCTGAATTTGTTTTTACCTTTATTACTAATTCAGGAGGTTGGTAAGGTTTTTGCAAAAACTTGACATCTTCTGGAGTTAAGGGACACATGGCATTCCTAGCAAGCATTACTGATAAAAATTCGAGCACGGCATCGTCCAATCTTTTTTGTAAAACTTGAACTAGTTCACAACAAACATCTTTTCCAGCTTGTGTTATACCATGAACCTTCAAGATTAAAGTATCTTCGGTTATTTCTTCTTTTCCGTCCTTTTCTCCAAAAGACCTTACTCTTGGGCGAATATCGGACTAAAAATTAAAAGCAATGATAATATAAATGCGTCTGTACCAATAAAAAACGGTTTGTTACACTTGTGGTCGATGAAATGCTATTTTCTGATTGTGCAAGATCTCGTTTTTGTTGACTTAATGGAAGTGAAGTGATGGAAGGGCTTCGAGACACAGAAGTATTTTCAAAATCATTTGATTTTGATACATTAGTCTTAGACGCTCCTTGAACACATTCGTGCAGTCTGTGGTAAAATACTGCATTAGAAAAGCGGAATTTAGAAATTAATATGTAAATACCTCAAATAGAAAACATTTGAATTGATATCTTGATAAACAAACATGTTACTTCTATTTGAGACAGAAAATTTATCCAGAATGGTTTTCAACGCTTTAATACCCCTAGAAAGACCAGATTTTCCAGGACCTATCTTTAGCCTGGGATGAAGAACAAAACGCTTTTCCCATGTTACAGGACAACTAAAATATCCTGCCTTGAATCTTGTTTCTGCTTCCCTAAACATTTGTGGATACATTTCCATTTCGTCGTTTGTATCTAAGAAAATAAAAGAAACATTGTGGAATTATTACTTAAGAAGCATCAGTAGCAAACTATTACCATCAAGATTTTTAAATCTGTTATAAAAGGGCTTTGAAGTAAATGAAGTTAGTGATGACTCATAATTCCATTCCTTTGGATCATCATCTGGCTCAAGAAGAAGATCACAAACTCTTGTGTCATGTAGGCTTTGAAGAAGTAGTGACTGATTGACCTGTTTACATAATTCCTTTACTATTTCTCTCATTGTCCTCTGAACTTGTAAATATGTGGCTACTTGAGGTGCAGGAAGCCCTAAAAACCTTTATGAAGATTTCAAGTTCAACTTTTTTGCAACTATCGTTTTTGCTACGTTATTAAACGACTAACCTGCAATGAAAATAAAACGTGACTGTCTTCTTCTCTATGGTCATTATTAACCAGAAATTTGGAAGGTGACAACGTCTGTTATTCATATTTTCAAGCCACCCGTAGTCTTCATCATCTTCACTTACATCTTCATCATATCCTGGAATTATTACATATAAAAATACAAATCAAACACTTAAAAGCTTTTTTGCTACGTACCCCCATCGCTTTCTATGTTGCTTCCAGAGGAAAGTGATGCACTACTTAAGGGCGATGACATTTGTTCATTTTCTGGTTTGATTTTCTTCACTTGGTAATCGATATCTTTAGATGTGTCTTCTAGTGTCATTTCTTGGTTTTGGTGATGGTACATCAATATGTAATTAGCGGCGAACGATTCAACTGAAGCATTTTGAATAGGAAGAGCATCTGTAGAGAAGGTAATCATTTCATCAAAACTCTTTAATAAATAATAAAACTCTTGTTCTTTACATATTTTGTAGTTGGGTACTTGAACGTCTTTGAAATCCTGTAAATAAACAAAGTGTTTATTAAAGTATGTTGCAGTACTGCTTCACAGTGCATTTTAACTATCTGTAATTACTTTGACGAATTTTTCGTGACTTTGATGTGATTCATATACAAAATGAAGGTCCACTCTGTCTAATATACAACTGCTTCTTCCAGGGCTTTTTATTACATGATTGATTACAAAATTTAACGTTTCTGGAGTGACAGGATTCATATCTAATAATGCTGTTGCAATTTCGTCTCTTAATAACCATTTTATCTAACAAAAATTAACAAAAAAATAATCTTTAATTTGCACAATATAGATTTTGTTACCTCATCTTGTAAAATAGCAATGGCCTTTCTTTGTTCTTCTGTAATGTCTCCCAGAGGATCATATCCACTAAATAATAATTAAATTATATTAACATATTAAGTCGTAAGTAAGTAAATTGTAACCTGCACATACTGCTCCCATCAGACAAAGTACCGTCTATACTTGGCTGAAATCCTTCAGAACAAAAACTTGTAGTTCTCAAGCCTTTTGAAGAATAATCATTAATGACATTAATAACTTCAGTGGGCAACGTTAAACATTTTATTCCAAGATAAACTTTCAGTGCTTTATTATCAAATTTTTGCATATCAATTTGGAATCCACTAATTACTTCCCCTAAAATAAAAAATAGAAACGGTATATGACTTATAGATGTTTCATGCTGTATCTACTTACCTAAGCAAGTCGGTAAAACTGTAATAGAGCATTCTGTGCTTTTATCTTCAAGTACTAGCATACAAATCAATTGCAAAAATAAGGGAGAAGTGTTATTTATAATGCATTCACTGTTTGTGTTCTCTGACTGAGTAAATTGTAAGGGCACTTCAGATTCTATACTAGGTTCTTTCTCTTGCTTAAGATCACCTACACCTGATGGTGGGACAGACGATAATTCATCGTCACTATCGTTTTTATTTACAGCTTTCTCACAGGATGTAGTATGGCAATAATAATATTTTGTGTCACTTGGTATAGGTGAAAATGCGGTATTTAAAATTTTAAGAAAACTATACTTGATCAATCTATGTAACGACTTTAATTCCCTACATGGTGCCTGCTTTTGAAAGATGTTTAAGTCAACTTTCTCTGAATCGTGACCGTTTTTTAGATGCCCACATATCGTCTAAAACGGTGTTTTGGATAATAGATAAGTACTTACTGAATAATACAATTAGGTGTTTACCTGAATATACTGTGTTATATCGACATCATATACAACTTCTTTACATTGATCTATAGCAAAATGAACGTCAGATTCGTGAACGGATGCACCACATTGTAATGAGGAAAACAGAGACAAGACAAAACATTTTGAATATGTTAATACTAAAGCTCGACAATGTTGCTGTGAGCTAGTTCTTTGATCAGTATTTTCAGTCTCTTCAGTTTTAGTCTCTGTACTACTACTTTGTGAAGTAGTACTAAAAATAATTACCCAAATAAAAACATAAATTATGTTAGAAAAATATGTAAATTTTACCTCAGCCTTTCGTTTATTTTTTCTAAATTTACTTTGTGCCTGTGATCATCATAAATGTCATTTTGAGAACGGTTCTGGTCACTACCATTAACAAAGCACTCAACCAAGGCAGCAAGGGGACAATCAAAAACATACAACGGTAAAGGAAGACCACTTTTCTTTTCAGAACATATAATGTTCTTTTCGTTATGTGGTGAAACCAAAAACCTAATGTCATCTAGTGTAGCAGGAACAAAAGTTAAAATTGCATGGGTTATAGAAATGCCTTTTATAAAACATCTCCATCTTGAAATGCAATTAATATTAGGAGATAAATGATCTAAAAAAATTGTAATAAGCACATTATGTGAATTACGTTTTGTATGCAGAGTACCTCTGGTAGAAGGAGAAATAGGACACGTTTTGGGACGTTTGTTGGGATGCCTGTTAATAATGTGCCGAGTAAATCGGTCGGAATCTTCTGGAGATATATCGATCTCTCTATCGTGTAAAGACTGTAAATTATCTTGAAGTGCTTCCAGTAAAATTTTATTTGGTTTTCCAAAATCGTAATTACTTAAAGAAGACGGACGCTCTTCATCCACTACGGTAACAAAATTTATAAAAACAACTATTAATTTTTGCTTATTCACTTACTATCCACAAACATAGAAAATAGTAATTCTGTAAGAAAACAAAATTGTAGTAAGCCAATTGGGTCGAAGTTAAATGGAATGTGCTGAATTCTTTGACTAATAGAGGGATTTATCTGGGCTCTAAAAAGCAATTATTCTTAGCATTTTATAATGAAAATTTAATGACATAATTACTCAAAATCTCCCATTGATAATAAATCGGGCAAGCTTGTTTTACTACTCTTACAATTCGATATTTTTCTTTGTCGACTCAAAGTACTAAAGCGTCGTGTGGGGATAGCCTTCGGTAAAACCGGGGGTTTCGATATTTCCTGACACATCAGATTTAAATGTTCTAATGTTAATAACGAATTTATACAGTGCCAATCAATAGTCTTCAACTGAAATTATGAAAATAGAAACAGAAGCAAAAAATTTCGGAAGGAACACTATTTAAACTTACCACATCAGCAAGTTCATAATATCTCTTTCTACCAAATCCTTCTGGTTTCGGAGACGACTCACTTACAGTACCATACTGTGGTTCCACCCAGACTTCAGTAACAATTTGAAGTTCAGATTCTAGTTCACTTTCAACTTCAGCATCCTCTTCAGAACTGCTTGTAAATTCTTCACCTTTCCATGCACTGTGAGGAGGAAACAGAACATACTGTATAATACAGTTCTGAACAGGCTCCATCTGAAGCTCTAAAACCATTGTTAATATTCCTGATGAAGAATGGGCTATATTAAAGCCCTCTTTTAACCTAATCCTGTAATAGAAGTACCAGTTAAGTAACATTAAGATGGAAAATTGGTGACTGTTACCTTGATAATGTACTCAGCACTCGAGATATAGCACCTTCTTCGAGTTTTGGATTTGAATTGTGGGACGTGCTCCAAATCCATCTTCGATGGTACAAATATCTCGACAGTGTAGTAAATAAAGTGCTAGTTAATGGAGACGAAGCGAAGTTGGTAAGGGATTGGGGTGGCTGAGTTCCATCTGGGAATATCACAGTTGATAAATCGCTAGGCTTTCGTTCATATCTGTATGATTAAAAAAAAAAAAATACTAATAAATGTTTACAGAAATAATGGGTTGCATTCGTTTCTTACCTTATAAGAATTTTTTCCAAAGGCTTCTGAAGTAATGTACAACAAACGCTTTCTCTCACCTTTAAAGGGCTTGAAAGGTATGACAAGTAAGACAACTGTATCTTCAGTTCTTCAACCACCTGTAAGACATAATGTTGATCTATTAAAGTTAAATTAAAATGAAATACTATTTTACCCTATATCGTTGAAAGCCAGGAGTGTTGTTAACAAAGCCGAAATTTAAAACGGCACAGGGTAATTTGGATGTAACACGAACCAGACAAAACCAAGAAGGTATTTTTATGTCTTCAAAATAAACAAATTTCAAATACGTATGATTGTCTATTAAAACAAATGTAGCCCATTCAGCTAATAATCCATATAAAGCAGTAGCTGCCTGTCTACACTGAACTACCTGAAATTTTACAATATCGAAATTGACAATTTAAAGCCAGATTATATTATTTTACCTGAAATCGCCTTGAAGAATTTGTTAAATGCATATGCCTCGGGAGGGGATGATCATGTTTTAATATTAAGGATAATTTATGAGTATGAAACCATTTTCTCCAATTGTTTGTCTCAATCTGACAAATTGGTTGCCAAGCAGAAACAAACTTTGGACATGAGGGATCACTAATGACAGAAGAAAGATTTTACATTTAATAAAAACAATTTTGATATATAATTACCATGGGGACAATGATAATTTAGTTGCATCATTCCCATTAATGGCAAACAATGGAATGCCATTTCTTACACTTTCAGGAAGTGTATACCAAACTGTTGAATTCATGAAACTGGTAAAATGCTGCGCAAGTTGAGAATCGCCGGTAGACAACTGAGATAATCGCATCCAGAAACGTTCAATAACTGCTTGTCGATAAGAAGACTTAATTTCCTTTTTCATAAGACACGTTATGTCATGTAAAAATTCATAAGGAGCTAGAATATCTCAAAGAATAAAAAAAAAAAGATCAGTGAATAATGTTACAATACCTAAAATTTGAACTTCAAAATTGGTACTGTTTTTTTCACATGGCCACTGTGAAGTCATTCTATATTGAATATAAGTAAACGGTTTCCATTGTAAGTTTAATTTAACTTCAATTATACCATTATTACGACTTATATCCTAAAAACTAATTAATTAGGTTTTTTGATACTTATTTTATTATACAATTTACATCTAATGTGTAGCCCTCTCTCATTCTTCGTGAGAGTAAAAGGAGAAAAGAAGCGTTTATACTTTCTTCGACCTGTTTTTTGGACAGTATAGTAGGAACTCTGTTATTTTCAAAATTCTGATTTCTAGAATTATACAGAACAAATTACTCTACTCACATGATACCCTAATTAAAGCATCTTACGGCAATATCCACTTGCAACAGGGTTGCGTTTCGAAAATGAAACTGTAATCGTATTTCCCGTTGCCAAAAAAACTCCATACTAAGTAATAATTGTGATAAATGTTAAAAGAATCTGATTCACCCCTCTGAAACAATCGTTATTAGAAACTGACTTATTTTAGGTATCATTTCGTCTTACTATTTGTGGATAAGTGTCTAAGCATGTGCCCATTGTAGATTGTGATAAAAAATGAAGAAGGTCAGTGTAAGGGATGTAACCTGCACTACTATTAGGATGAAAAGGGGAACCTATTTTCAAAAATGAAACAGGAGTCCCATCATAATGTAACTGCAATAAAAGGGACTCCATTATGTTGCTATCAGGCATAGCTACAACACCATCAGTTATGACTAGAATATCTAAAAATAAATATTTAAATGAGCATTTAATTATAAAAGAAAAAGTCTGCTTGTATGCTATTTCATAAAGGAAAATTAATAAATATAAAACCAAATTTGTCATATCACCTTACTATGAATATCAATTTCTTAAAAGGTCAAGAGTAAATTGCTTTTTGTTATCACTAAGCCAATATTGACAAAAATGATCCAAGTAATGTGGATCATGTAACAGTAAGTTAGAGAGAAAAAACAGAATAAAATCAATAAATCCTAAAATAACTTCATAAAAAAAATTAAGCTGTATTATTATTATTATTACTAATAGTAGAATAAAAATAATATACTTACGACTTAAACAATTTTCAGGAAGTAATGAAATGGCTAGCATAGAATAACGTAACATATTAACGAAATTGACATCTGGCAAAACCATGGGCACCGTGGAAGAAACATTTTCACTTTCGTGAAGATCAAACAGAGAACCTACCATTCCCTCATTTTCGGCTTTTAAAAGTTCTATTTGTTCATGAGCTAATGTAGACACTTGTGCAATTCTACCTTCTAAATAGTAGAATTGAGCTTCTATCAGACTTATTATCTCTTCAAAATTACAAGACGATACTATAACACCTTTTACTAAAACTTGTTGTGCAGGGTTCATAAAAAATGGAGTATTCACTATCACTGTTAAATATAAAATTGGTTTATGAACTATAGAACTTCCAGGAATTATGAACTGAAAGTGAAAGAAAGATGTAGCATTCAAATAACAATAATAAATGCCAATTACCTCTTTACAAATCCCTTCTAAACTATTTCGAAAGCACTTCAAGATTTCATCAAATAAAATTTCTCCTTTTTGAACATCAACTGCAGATTGAGAAGGGCTCATATCAATACAATAAACTAGTCTGTATCTGTGTGCTAGGAATTTAACCTGAGTATGAACTGTGATTAAATATCTGTTGGTCTTGGATGGTAATGCTTCTGCAGGCACTATTGAAACTATCTTTAACTCATTAGAGTCATCATCCTAAAATAATAATAGATAGCATTAATAACAAAACTGAATGCCAAATATAAAGAGTAGTAATTTTAATTTGCAATACAAAATACATACCAATTTAATATTATCAGTAAATGTTATAATTGTGTTTATTCTATCTAGAAACCATAATAAACGGTCTGCTCTTGATACAGGCACATTTTTAGGCAATAAAATATAAACTGTTACAGCTCTTGCAAAAGAAAAGGGGCTAGGGTCTTCACTGTACGAGAAATCAGTTAAATAGTTGTCACTTATTCCTATACATAAAAATAACATTTAATTTAATATATTAAGAAACAAAGATACATACCATTTAATGATGATAGGTCAACACCTTCATCAGAGTCCTGTCTCTGAAAGTTTGGTTCCATAATTTAAATAACTTTTCAACATTAGGTTCACTTAACTTCCAGTGTAAGAAAAGATGAGCACAACAGTGTCATTGTTCTTGATAATCCCAGCAAAAGTTCCTTATTAATAAACAAACATTAACTGTAGTTCATTTGGAATTGTTTAAATTTGATAACTTACAGGAGACGCAAAACATGCCAGCTGTGTACGAATGTACAGGTAAAACAAAACATACTGTAGAACAATATCCATTCGGAGTTTGTCTTCATATTCATAACGACGACGAAATATTAATTTCAGATATCAACTACAAATATTTACAAGCTATCATTCACTAAGATTACATCACTTACTTCAACATAACCTTACTGCCATATAGGTTTTATGCTCATCGTTTGTTTTGATTTATTAAACTACGCATGCACATTAGCAAAATTTTAAAACCATCACCACGGTCACTGTTTACTAGAGCTACAACTTTTTGCGTTGTCTAAATTTGCTTACTATTTAATAGAATTTACTCTTTAAAATAGACAAAATTTGGTTTTCGCGTATTAGCACGATCGCTTAATTATTACTAAAGAAAATACTTACGAAAACTTGACTTTAAAGCAATTAATAACTACAAATTGTACCTAATAGTTTATGTATTCTACTAACGATAAATAAAAATTACATTCATTGCATACTTATTGATTCTCAATGTAAATTGTAAAACTTCATTTGTTCATGTAAATACAAAAAAATAAAAAAGTGTAGGTAATTAGTTAATATCTAAAATGAAAAAACATGATTTGGCAACGTTTATTAATTCAAAATGAACTATAAAATTTTTCTACGTATTGATTAAAATCTTAATCAATTAAATTCTATAATAGGTGACTTTAAACTTTAAACGTAGGTATTTAGTTCGTATTAAAACAGAGCAATAAAATTAGGAAAAGGGTGTAGATTATATGCAATAAATTTTCCATGCACGGCGTAAGTCTGGCAAGTAAAAACTTTTTATTGATGTAATCTACTTTATTATCATTTAATTTAAAAAAATACTTTCTCCTGTCTAAATTAGAAATCGCGAAACTACATATTTATAATAATTACATTGGAATAATCGTGTTTAGTTTTATAAAAAAAGTGCAATTATTTTACCATCTATTAATAAACTCACTTAATTTATTCTTTGATTTGTTTGATATATTTTTGTACATAACAGGAGTTTTCTTAAACTATGAAAAAATTCTTGGTTTGGCTATGTCTGCTCGGAAAACCGAATTTACTTCAAGGACAACTTAAAGTCCATAATTTTTAACGTTTATTTAAATATTATTCATACATCAATATCTTTAATATACATTATGTTATAGTTATAAACGTTAAGCAAGTAATTTAGTACTTTTGCCACATAGTAATGGGTTTATAAATATGCATTGGAATTTATATTTTATTTGCATTCGGAAATACGTATTAAGTTAGAATTGTGGCATGAAAATGAGAAAGTTAACTGCCTTGTGTA